ATAATAATAATAATAATAATAATAATAATAATAATAATAATAATAATAGTGGCAGTGCCTGGAGACAGCAGAATAGACGAGAAAGAACTGGAGAAGATACCAAAATACAAAGACCTACAAATAGAAATAGAAAGACTGTGGCAAAGGCAAGCAAGGGTGGTACCAATAGTCATAGGCGCCTTGGGTGCAATCCCAAAACAACTGGAGCACCACTTGGACACCATCATCGGCATTGACAAATTCGCCATTAGTCAATTGCAAAAGGCGGCCTTACTAGGAACCGCTTCCATCCTGCGACGATATCTGTAATACCATCAAACATCCACATCTGCCTATCCCAGGTCCTGGGTAAGGACTCGGTAGGTAGACAAAAATGCCAAATCTGGTCTGAACATCTGGCTGACTGTGCAATGATCAATAATAATGTTGGAAGGGACCTTGGAGGTCATTTGGTCCAACCCCCTGCTCAGGCAGGAAACCCTACACTATTTCGGACCAATGGCTGTCCAGTCTCTTCTTGAAAACCTCCAGTGTTGGAGCATTCACAGCTTCTGGAGGCAAGTCGTTCCACTGGTTAATTGTTCTCACTGTCAGGAACTGTGTGTGTGTGTGTGTATTTGGGAGACTGGCCTTTTTAATTCGGCAACTGCATAGGGGAAATGCCCCCCCCCCCGATGCCATCCTGACCCCAAAAGCAGAACGATGGAAAGGTGCAACTGACAGGTAAGAATTTGAGATTGCTTATCACCGAATGCCCAAACTTGGCAACTTTTAAGACTTGAGGACTTCAACTCCCAGAATTTCCCAGCCAGCATAGATCTCTTATCTTTTATTTTTACTTCTTAAAGTGGTGACACTGGCTAGGGCAGTGGTGGCAAACCTATGGCAGGGGTGCCAGAGGCGGCACTCAGAGCCCTCTCTGTTGGCACACGCGCCGTCGCCCCAGTCCTAGGCCTTCATCTGGGTTTTATAACACCTTTTCGCTTTAGGCCTCGGCCGCCGTGTGCAAAAAAAAAAGGTTCAATCAATCAGTCAATTTCAACTTCTCGTGGGAAAAAAAAAGATCTTTGCAAAGTTGGAATTGATTGATTGAACTTTTTAGTCCTACCCAGTCTGCTGTTACCACCGCAGCCACGCCCACCCAATGGGCCACGCCCACCCAATGGGCCACGCCCACCCAATGGGCCACACCTACCCGGCACTCGACGATGCATAAGTGGGTTTTGGGTTGCAGTTTGGGCACTCGGTCTCTAAAAGGTTCGCCATCACTGGGCTAGGGGATTCTGGGAGTCGAAGTCCAGACTTCTTAAAGTTACCGTGTTGACTGGGGGATTCTGGGAGTCGAAGTCCAGACTTCTTAAAGTTACTATGTTGACTGGAGGATTCTGGGAGTCAAAGTCCTGACTTCTTAAAGTTACCGTGTTGACTGGGGGATTCTGGGAGTCGAAGTCCAGACTTCTTAAAGTTACTATGTTGACTGGAGGATTCTGGGAGTCAAA